TAAAATTATAAATTAATGATTTTGAAAATAATTTGGAGGCTCAAGTTTGGTACTAGATACATTAAATTAATAATTTTGAAAATAATTTGGAGGCTGAAGTTTGGTACTCGATGTTCGATAGATATATTAAATTAATGATTTTGAAAATAATTTGGAGGTTGAAATTTGATACTTGGTGTTCGATAGATATACTAAAATATATGATTTATATTTGTTTCAGGAATTGAAAAGCTTCATATATTAAGCAAAAAGTTTTATACTTGGGAGTCAGGATTTAAATCAATTTTTTATTTATTAAAGACGAAGAAATACTTACTATTTTATCAGAAATATCTACGTAAACTTTAAGCTCTATGATTTTATGTAGATTAGTAGTATAATATATTGATAGTTGTAAACTTTATAAAATGAAGTAGTTGAAAAGTACATTCGAAAGAGAAAAACATCACATCATAATTTTAAATAAGTCGATTAGACCTATCTAGTCATGTGCGTGTTCATTATTTCAAACCTCAAAACTCATGGGCAGACATAAACGTCAATTACGCACGAATTCATGTAAATAACACATTATTAACTTAAAATCGTTAGAGAAATTTATAAATTTTAAATTAATCCCTAACACGTCTCTGTCAAACTAGCCTCGATGGAGGCGCATCCCACGTCTACCGAAACGGATTTAATTGAATTCCTCTCTCGGAAAAATTATATTCACTACTATAACATATAAAATTTGTAACTAAACAACAAAGTTCGTCACTAATTCTACTTATGAATTAGTGACGGATCATCACAATATTTTGTTAGCATAGTTAATTTCAAAAAAAAATCTCTTAATGTGACGGTGACATATAAATGTGAGGGATTAATATAATTGGTGAAGGATTATTCGTAGGTTCCTACCTGCTATACAGGCAGAATCTAAGAGGGATGGCTTGTTGTATATATGATTAAGATTTGAAGAATGAAGAATGGGTTTCTTGTGACTCGTTTTCATTTCCATCTGTGTGTTTTTGTCAGCTTCGATGTACACAATACCTCATCACATGCACCTCAATATCCCCCACACAACATCAATCAAACATATATCATATATTACTATAAGCATGAACAAAAAAAGTTGAAAGTTGAATTACGGTTTTACCCCTTCTATTAATTAAATTGTTATAACATATTTAAATATTTGATTGTATAAGTTTAATTAAAATGTTAAATGACTTTTAGACTTCCTAAGATTAATTCCTAATTAAATATCTAATTTATTAATATTTATCATCTATAATCTATATGTATATAATAATTATTTTATAATCAATATCATATATTACTATAAGCATGAACAAAAAAAGTTGAAAGTTGAATTACGGTTTTACCCCTTCTATTAATTAAATTGTTATAAAATATTTAAATATTTGATTGTATAAGTTTAATTAAAATGTTAAATGACTTTTAGACTTCCTAAGATTAGTTCCTAATTAAATATCTAATTTATTAATATTTATCATCTATAATCTATATATATATATATATAAAAGAAAAAATTAAAAAAAGTCTATACCTAAATTGCTATACTTTTCCTCTTCTCATAACTTTTTCCTTTAATCATATCATATATTATATATTATACTAAAAGTGGGAAACCACAAAGTTAAAAGTTGAAATACCATTATACCCTTATACTATATTAAAATATTTTAAAACATCTTATTGAATTTAATTATAAAATAATATATATATATAGTTGGTTAAATTCCATATATCTGTCAAGCATTTAATGTAATCTATTAACCTTAATGTCTATATATTAATTGGTAGATGTTTTCATCTTCCAACTGAAAATTAGCTTAATAGTTGTACACTTGATAACCAAGAGTTGTAACATAGAAGAAGGATAATGAAGAGTCATATAGTAGGTGCCCGTTAATCCTATAAATATGTCTCTTTCTTTTACTCAAATTATGCAGTGCCTTGATTTCTTGCCAGCTTCAATTCATATTATTTCTTTTTCGAATCCATTCAAATTATCCTAAATTCTTACATAAAGTTTATGATACAATTCTCCAATTTAATTAATTGTTTTTTTTATTTTAAAAGAAAATAACATATTTCTTGAGTTACAAAAAAGAGATTCTGGTGATTTCCTTGGAAAGAGAAGTCGAGATGACGATGATATTAGTTTTTATTGTATCTCGCTTAATGTGTCTCATATTTGTGCAGGTTTCTTGTATCTTTTCTCATTTTCAATTATTATAATTTGTAATTATGTCTTTATTGATCTATTGCTATACCGTCAGTAGACATGTAAATCAAAATGCAAAAATCAAATATTTATTACGTAGTCATTTATCGTTCAAAATATTTGTTGGTTTCTTTGCCTTACAATATCTTATGAATTTTAATACTTTTTATCTCTCTACAGATTGCTAGAACAAGATTGTGAGTGTGAGTTATATGGCTTTTAACGAGTTGTTTCCCCCATTTCTTTTTGTAAATTCTTATTACCCACTCTTGGTAAACATTTGATAATCGCTTAATTTTTCATTTTTTTTCTTCTTTCTATGAACGTATGAAAGTAAAATTTTCTCTTCTTTTTCCAGTTTTCATGTCGTGACATTTTTCGTTTATACGTTTGAGGATGTTAGCATCAGATTGATTCTTCAATTTTACCAAACCATCTGGATCTCTTTGTATTTTATTGATGAATAAAGTGCATCTCTAAGCACTCTTTTCTTTAATTATTCTCTATAATTTGGTGTAACTCATGGTACACACTTTAATTTTATGTATTTCGTTTTAAATCGAGTGTACCAATCAATATGAGATACTCGTGCAATCGCACGTGTTCAGAAACTAGTATTCATATAAGTGGGAAGCTCCTAACTTAAAAGTTAAATTACCATTCTGCCCTTATTTTAATATATATATATATATATATGCACCATTATTATTATATCTAGTCTGCCACGAATTTTAAAGTGATAGAAATTTTAATGACAATCATAAATAAATTACGATACTGATGTCTTAATTATTATTTTTAATATCTAAGGATATTCGAGACGCGAGTCTTGATACAATACCCAAGAATATATGGCATATAACTAATCTTTGTAATAATTTTAAATTTTCGTTAAAGGAAAATTATTAACAAGAGTCACACGTAGGTTTTTGTTTGTTAATTATGTTTAGCTCTAACATTATCATACATATATATTTGTTTGTTTTTACAAAAGTATTTAAACATGTATGAAAATGGAAATGATTTTTTCTTCCAACTTTACCCCTACATTTCTGATAATGCCTTCTGGCAACACTCCACTTTAGTTTTGGCTGTAATTGATCTCTTGTTTGTATGATTGTGTTTGGCTGTGGTATGTGTGGACATCCTCAATTTTGGCTTAATTCTTGTTTGATCAATGAAACTTTTTGTTTTGGAAATAATAAATTGTCTTATGTCTCTTTCTTTAGTTCCTCTTCCCTCTAAAAAGGGGTAATTCTTTTTAAAAATAAAATTATAGAGGTAAATGTTGAATCACTAATTTTGAGGTATTTTGACACGTGAAATTTATCGTATATCAAAATTTTGATCGGGTTCATATTATCTCTAGACGATTTGCTAACACAACAAGTGACATAGTAAGAGGAGTGAAATGGGATTAATTAATACGTTTATTCAAATTCTTTTAACTCAATTGATAAAGTTTTTGTCTCTGTCACTTACGTGAAAACATAATGAAAGGTAATCTTAATACATTTCAAGCAAAATGAACATTTTTTCTAATTAATTTATTTATTTTTATAGAGAAAAGAAAAATCAAACTTCCCATTTTCAGTAGGATACAAGACAAGAAAAAAAAGAAGTAAAAAGTAGAATGTTAAGTTTTAAAGTAAAGAATTAGAAATTAAAGTACACAGAACTTTTAGGTTAAGATTCGTCTTGTACAAATCATCAGGGTACTTCAAATACATATAGACACCAAGGCAAAGACAAGAATATTACATTAGGTTACTATAAAAATATTTTACTTTTTTCAATTTCTTGATTTTTTCTTTAATTTGGGTTAAAAGTTCTTCCAATAAATCATTATTATTTGAAAAGACATCAAACTAATAATAATTCAATAGTACACATTATTAAAGCGTACTTGTGTGTTAAAGGGACTATGTAATGTAAATAATTCTACCCTTCTCTATTAATATATATGAAATGATTTCCCCACTCGATCAAATAACACGTTAATTCACGATTTTGTGGAGAATATTCAATCATTTCATATGAAATTCGAGCGAGAGCTTTGATGCAGTTTAAGTTGACGAGTGGGAAGCAAAGGGCAAAAGGTTTCTAGATTCTAAGGGCCAAGTCTAATTTAGGGCCCAACCCAACATCCTAATGGGTCATCTGCTGAAGAAAATCTCAAGAGTCATTCACATAAATGGACCTTTTTTTTTGTGGGGTGGTCTTTTAAGTTCTGCTCTTAAATTTGATGGTCTTTAATTTTCAATCTTCGTCGTTTTAAGTAACTAAATAAGTGACAAGAAATACTCCTTTATATATGAATCTATGGTGCAAGAACCTATTGCGATTGCTTCTTCAAACCAAATTGTGCTCACCTAGACTAATTCTACCCGATACATGTCACCTCACACCAACAACAAAACGTAAGGACCAAGACCAAGAACTAAAGGCATTGGCACATTCATCTAACAAGGGCCTTTCGTTATGGTCTTTCTCACATATACTACTCATTGGAAGGAATCCCACGAGCCTGTTGAAGGATATATTAACAGCCAGAAGATATTCTAACTTGCCAACTTCTTGTGGTATTTCACCACTCAATTTTGGGCTTCCAACAAGCCAATACAATATAATTAACCCAGAAGTGGTAATCGCCACACAGTAAATAGAAATCAGCAGCATATATAACGCAAGAGCTTGGCTTATAGACACTACAAAAAAATTTTAACCAAATGAAGGTGCATTCACATATTGACATCCAAGATATAAAAAATAGAATCTCTCGCATTGCACAATAAGGTATAAATTGGCAAATACACACTTGAATTCTCCACCATAACAAGGTGCATCGTCATATTTAAGATCATATTATTTATCAAGGCCAGGGCAGGACAACACAGAAAGAAAAAGTCTAGACTATGATAGAATTGGTGCCATCAACACTTGCACAGGTCATTTACAGCATCAAAAGCATGCATCCAAGAGACAGCAACAGCACAGAGCAGCCAAACTGCAAAAAAATATACAACCGATCATTAGTCCCAATAGAAATAAGAAATACAATGAGGAGTGCTACAAGAAAAAAGGGGAAACAGAAAATCACAAAGCTGTTGAAATGTGAAAGACCACCGCTATACTCTTCTCTCCTCGACTCTATGAAAATTTAGGGCAGCCAAGACCACGTCCATCTCTCCCCAGCCAATCCTACTTCTAATTCATAAACATCATATTCTGTGTTGCTAAACCGAAACAAACTGCCCAAAATATGACAAAAACTCAACTAAAACCAATTAAGTACATTCTCGGAAGCGTCATTGTCTAATTGGTTCACTGGCACTGTGGCAACTTAAAGGTGTGATTAATATGACAATTATGTGATTATTTTTGCTAACTTTGTGAACTACTTCTCTTACAGTGGAATGGAGCATCAACAAAGGATATTCCCATGGTCTATTGGTTTTAACCACAAGGAAGAAACAATTAACGTGACAGTGTGGATATCTTTGCCGAACTAAGCTCCTGATTTATTTGCTAAGAGGTCACTATTGTCTATAACAACAGCAACAGTTGGAAAACCAATAGCTATAGACAAAGCAACACAAGTTATGTCTAGACTGTGCACTGCCACCTTTTAGTTCTCTCTCAGTCTGAAGTATGCTGTGTAGCGCGATTTCAGCAGCCAGGGACAAAATCAAGGGTGTAAACAACAGTAATGGCAAGGCCTGGACTATGTTCGGACATAAAATAACATTCAGGCATTCTAATTGTCTCTCCTGCTCGTGTTAATGTGCAACAAGAGGGATATTCCATGTGCTCGAGCTTCTGCCCCAAAGGACATACAAATGATAAGGACCCATTCTAGTTTGGGTCCAGAGCCATAGTTAATAAATACAAGTGCTCACAAAGTAAACATCAAACAGAGCAATAATAATTTGAGAAATCATGTTTTGACAGGACACACCAAATCAACAAGGAAAAACACACACATAGTAACAGATAGTCCAGATAAACAATCTCCTCAGCCGCTCTACAAAAACCTAGATCTCTCCCAAACAAAATCATACCAATACATACTTTATCAGACAAATTACTCAATAACTGTAACTGAATCACAACAAACCATAACATATAAACATAAAAATTGAGTCTTTAAGGTTCATACCATCCTTCCATGAAACCAGTGCCACCAGATTGTTGTTGTTGCTGATGAGGCGGTGGAGCACCATACTGAGGTGCATACTGAGGAGGGTACCCTTGAGGTGGGTAACCTTGTTGAGGGTAACCCTGTTGTGGGTACCCTGGTGGTGGGTATGCATCTTTAGGGTAACCTTCTGGTGGATATCCTACAAAAAATCAAAACCCCATCAGATCTAATCATCAAAACAACATATAAAAACATGAACTTTACCATAAATCATCAAAAAAAAATGGAATTGAAGCAATTTACCTTGTGGTGGTGGTACACCAACAGGGGGTTGTTGTTGATTGTAGTAACTCATTGTTGAATAAATGAAGAATTTGGGTTGGATCTAACTGTAGAGAGAGTTTTGTTGGTGTTTTTGCTTAGGCACAAAGAAAGATGATTGGGCTGTACAGTGGAGAAGGGATATTTATAGGGCAAGTCAAAGTGGAGACAACGAGGACCAGCAAAAAAAGCGAATTCCAAGAAATCCTAATTTGATTTTACTACGAAATCTTTTTCCGAGCCAATTCAAATTTAATCGGACTCCCATACGAACTTCGAATTAAAAAACAAAAAAGTATTTTTTAATGTTTTATCATAATATGTATAAGTGAAGTAATTACGTGCGAGCGCAAAAGTGTTAAAAAGTAAAAACATTACTATAAAAATAGTCCATTCGAATTTAATCGGGATCTCATACGAACTTCGAACTAAGGAAAAAAATAAATATTTTCCAATGTTGTTATAGGTATAAGTGAAGTAACCGCGTGAGATGGGCGTAAAAGTGTTAAAAAGGGAAAACATTACTATAAAATTATTTGTTAATTTTAAATTATTTGATCATCAACCGTTTATTAGAAGACCAGTAGGAAAGGAAAAAACATTTCTTCCATCATAAATTGTTGTATGGTTTTGTGTTGTGTGTAATAATTAAAGTTCAGAGTTTGTTAATGAATTTTCATAAAATTATCTTCCAGATTTTTTTGAAGAAAAAGATATGAATACATTTTTTATGATGAGTATTTTTCACTATCACGTTTGTTAAAAAAGAAATTTAGCATTTAGGAAGAATCAGTTCCGATAGAAGGAAAGGAGTAAGGTTTAGGCTTTACCCAATAGTTATTGAACCCGAGGTTGGTAATAAATTGAAGCTGCTCAGTCAAAGACAATATAAGGTGTTTCAATATGTAACAATTGGAGAAATCAAGAATCATTTGATCAATTAGTTTAGTAATTTCATTAGTTATGAACATGTTTGAATTATTTCATAACTTTTTTCAGCTATTAAACTTTTCATGTTTAGTTAGTTTGTTATTTTCATTAGTTATTGACAAATTGTTTACATCTTTTGATGATTTTTTAATTTAGATATGACCTACACCTACACTGTATTATTAGTTCTCTCAAAGAAAAGTTGATCAACGATTTTTTCTAGAAGGAATTAATGTTTAACCTGTCTTTATTGAAATGTTTTTTTTATGACCATATAAATAAACCTCCATAATTTCACAATTTTTTATAGTGATTGATGAAGTCAAGTTTTGTTGGAATGCTAAAATAGGTGGATCTGTATAGTTACACACTTAAAAAGGCATATTTTATGGACAAATACCTTTTCTGAAATGGAGAAATCAGATTTAAAAAAATAACATTTTCTTCTTTTGTATATCTAAGCTTTTTATGAGATAGAGAAAAAAAAATTCACTTTATATCTCATCCTCTTTCATAATGCTATTTCTTTTGCTTTGTCTATGGACTTTAAATATTAGTGGACAACTTTTTCTCTTATGCCTTTGAGAAGAAAAAAAAAAGTTTTTTTCCAAGAAATGATGCTTTTGAGATGGATCAAAATTACTCTTAAAATTTGTGGTTTTAAATATGTATTCATTTATATGTTGTATATTATTAATTAAAGCTAATTGATAGTTGAACCTATATTTACATCATCATCACCATGAATAATGTGCACATTCGTGCTACTGATCATTACTAACGTTTAAATAATCGATTTTAAAAATAAAATAAAATGGAAGTGTCATCCTATTTAAAGGATTCACATCACTAAATTTGCTCTACTTTATTTTAACTCATCCAACTAAATCTGATCGACCCTAATTTTATTACTCGTATAATTAAAATTTGTTTTTATTTTGTACTTGCTACATTAACCGTTTTTTAAGCTAGATTTCAAAAGGTATTTTGCAATAAGATGTGGTTTTTGAAGTGTCTTGATCATAGTTAGACTTTGAGAACATCAAAACTTTTATTGCCAAAAGCTATTGGAGTGGGAATGCATGAGAATGAAAGAACATGTCATGCTCCACCCCTCTCCATAACTCAATAGCGATACGGAGTGGAGTCAGAACTTTTATTAATGAATTTATAATATAAAATAATAAATACACGAATAAGTTTTAAAATATTATACATCTACTATATGCTATATATACATAAATATGTATTTAACAATTTGGATAAACTTTTTTTCTCATTCTAATAAGTAATTTCATAAATTCACTAATAAACTCTAAAACATATGTAACACAAAATCCTACAATAATATATGATGGGGGAAATGATTTTTCTTTCCTTTCAATCGTAAATCAAATAATCTAAATTTCACAATTGGTAAAATAGTAAAATAAATTAATTTGATTAAGCATATAAGATTACTTCCTTTGTCAACAATACTACAAATAGATAGTCCATTTTTATTTATTTAGTTTAAAAAATTGAAAGTAACTTAATTACTCATTTATCTTTATTACATTATTAACTATAATCATTTTCTAAATATTAAATTTATTACTCCTTTTGTTTTCTTTACTTGTTATTTCAAAAATAGATTTTCACTTACATTGCCACTTTTATCATATCAAGAAAAACTATTTTTTTTGTTTTTATTTTATTCTCAATATTAATGACTTATTCTTTAAATCATTAACTAAAATCTAAATCTACATAGTAATTAATATAGAAAAGTATTATTTTATTTATTACTTTTATGTGAATATGGCTAGTCAATCATATATATATATATATATATATATATATATATAAAAAACCTTAGGCCCACCTACGTGGCACCACCAGAATCTAGGATTCCCATTTAATTTATTTATTTCCAAAACTGGCCTTCCCATTTCATGAAAAATTGTGACTTTTATGAAAAGGTGCGACTTTTTTGAAGAGTTGCGACTTTTATGAAGAGTTGCGACTTTTATGAAAAGTTGTGACTTTTATGAAGGTTGTGACTTTTCCGAAAGAGTTGTGACCTTTCTGATAAGGCATAATAAATATTTGTTCACACTACCCTTTATTGTTTATAAATAAAGGGATTTCCTCTCATTTTAAAACAACGAAAATTCTGAACTACTTCTTCTTCTTCTTTTGCACAATTAAATATTCGTGTACTTTGCTCATGCTGAGTGGCTCACTTCACCATTGTTTTTTGTATCAATACACTAGTGAATAGAATCATCCTATCCTAAGAGGATCTATTCCTTTAAACCTTGGGTACTAGAGGGAAATAATTTTCTTAAGGGTACACTATGCATTTAGTGGGCTCGATTTTTTCCTTTCTGTTTCATTCTATTGTTACAGATCATGGTATTTTTTTTATAGTCATTAATTTATGCTTATTTTATTAATTATTGTTTTTGAGTATATCTTTTAAACTTTGTTGTTTATGTTCGTGCAAAATTATTGTTATAAGTATTTGTTAGTACAGATTAAATAACACACATTAATTGAGTATTCATGCAAGTTTTCTCTACTAAAATTGTTGAAAGTAGAGTAAAAGAATTCCTTAAAGATTTGTACTATCATATCTTGAAGACAAAATTCAAATTTGTTATGTCATTGTAAACACATAAAGATCTTAAAAAATTTATCGCAGCTTGATGTGCGAAGTGAATCAGGAAAAGGAGACAAAAATTAATAAACTTTTGACATAAGTTCAAGGATGTGCCGGATGACCTATAGAAGAATATGACTAGACTGTAACCTTTTTTAATCCCAAAGAAATAGATAACTATACAATAAATTAATTACTCATATTCAATATGAAGTATGAACAGATTTCTCAAGTTTACTGCAAGTTGTAAATACTTTTCTTGAAGTGATAGATGTGTTTTCGACACTGTGATTGGAATAGAAGTGTAGTTTCAAATT